GACATGTACATTCATATTTCAATTACATTTTTGTAGTTGGAGGTATGTATGTGTGTCTATATTTTTTGTACAGGTGTCTATATTAATATATACTTTTTTATATAATTTTATTTTTACCGCCTCCACCCCCGTAAATAAAATGGTCTGCTCCACTCTCACTACAATACGCTCCAAATATCAATATTTAAATTATGCAACACTTATTTGTCAATCAGCACCATTCGATTCCGTTGTGTATTAAACTCAGAGTTATACTGTAAATGAGGAAAATGTATATTTATTATTAATATCTGTCTGTCTCTCTTTCTTTATATATATATATATATATATATATATATATATATATATATATATATATATATAAGTATTTAGACAGTAACTTCTCTTTTATGCATGTCTGATTGAATGTTACAAATGCTATGTCTGCTTATTTTGATAATAATCTTTTCATATTCACGAATGTTTTTCCGTATATTACAATTAAATGAGGCAATAAATGTACTGTAACAGTGAGACTCACTTTTATTACCCAGGTACTTTCCATCTCTTTCTGAGATCATCATCATGTAATTCAGAATGAAAGAAAATAAGAAATCTTTGCTGAAAACAAATGACAATAAAATGATGAGGATTCAAGGCGACAGACGACAACAATTGTCGATGCATTTAAACTTTTGAAGACCACAGGAAACCAACCCGTTGGAAGAGTTGTCCATGGCGATAGAAGAGACTATTAGTATACAATTACCAATTAAATTTAATAAGTTCAACAGTAAAATGATGGGACCAATCTGCTAATCTAGTAATACACATTCATGAAGTTAGGTATTAAAGAATAAAGCTCATCAGAACAATTGCTATGAAACTATTTGTAGAGAAGCCACGTGACGGCGGTTGGAAATTGAGGGATGCCGTGATAAAAAAAATGTCCAAATCTTTGTCTTCATCTGGAACCATGTGTCTGGTAATCGTTCATCAAAATAGCAATATGCATAACGCCTGTGTCTTTTGTATTGTACAGAAATTTTAACATGACTAAGCCCTCTACATTGTACACAGATTTTAACATGACTAAGTCTTCTACATTGTACACAGATTTTAACATGACTAAATCCTATAAATCGTGCACAGATTTTAACATGACTATCTTCTTCTCCATGTATAAGTTGATCCTAAGCTGTTGGCGAAAACTTTAGTTTTAAAAATTTCTACATATATCCGTGTACGACACACACCCGTTCAATTTATTGGACATGTAGGATGATTCAGTCTTTTAATGTGACACATCACGAGCAAGAATGAATATACACCTAACGCCCTGAAATCGCAGCATATTCGGAAATTTCCCGCCCAAATATTGACAATTGCCGCCTCACTGGTAAAAAGAGTGAAGTTTTCATTTGGCACAAGATGCTTTTAGCTGTCATCAGCGTAGTAGAGGTCCTGTCACGATGGATGGTATTTGCTTTCAATGCCTTCGAGAAAGATACTCATAAATGTTATCCCGAATACCCTGACATGTACCCAGATTTTAGGCACGCTTGAATAATCTAGTTTGCGAAGAGGAAACGATTAATCACCAACACTTCTAATATAAAAAAAAATGAATGAATCGACTTTGTCATTGAGAAAATATCAATTGGATTTTTCAGCTCGAGTTTGTCTCGTCCATTAGCAAGCAATCAGTCTATTATATACGGGCTAGTATCACGTCATTCCATCTTCCTGCGATGCAAGAGCATTTAGATTCATATTGAGGGTGACTCTGAAAATTTTGTTTTATTCTAGTGATTAATGATAAACTGAGTAAAAAAACAACACACGAAATACTCTACTAGAAAAATACTTGATAGGAATAACATTTTAAAAGGAAATGAATGTATACATATCGTTTATCAGTCCTACCATAATCTGTTTATTAAATTGAAGGAAGCGGATTTAAAATGAGAATGACTAGATGTTTTAGAAAGGTTCTCCATCTTGAATCTAAATGCTTTTCTACAAATATTTTAATGTCAATTTTTCTAAGGAGCTCTCCACTTGGTATCTTAATCGCATTTTAAGCCTACTACTAAATTGGCAAATGGGTTTCATCTTTTTAACATTGAATTAGCTTAATGTGACTGCAAGTTCTATTCTAATAGGGTTTTCTTTTTCTCGGCTTTCTCGCCGGCTGAACTTTCTTCCGCTTTTTTTGCTTCCCTGACGCGTACCATCTTTAAGAATTTAAACAGAATGTCAATTGTCATCTTCTTTCTTCCGGAACCTATTCTTTTATTGTCCTTTCTACTTACGAAAATCTTCTCATTCTATTCCACTCTCAGTAACCCCTTGCGTCTTTGTGGCATTAGCGCCGTGCTTGGGATGATATTATTAAAAAAAAAGTATTTACTGCTAAAACATTAAGCAATCTAGCAAAATGAAAACTACATGGCCATTTTTAATGATAATTTTCAGTACCATGTCCCTTGAAGACTGAGGCGGTTATGTTTCTCCACATATTTTTTCCTTCACCGTCCTGGGGAGGACGATAAACTACATCCGCGTCCTGGATAAGACGATAAAAATACACCCGACAGCAAGGCTTCTGTTTAGAAGAATTTGAGGAGAGTGGAACCAGCTTTTAATTGCCGGTGTTCCCATGACAACTCTGAGCCGGAGTGGTGTCCCCTGTTGGGGTCCCAGCTATGGGCAAGTAGTTAATCCCCAAACTAGGGTCAAAATACTATGAAAGTGTAAATGTAGGTTTTAATTACCAGCAATACGTTTAAGAATAATATTACCAGCAATACATTGAAGAATAATATTACCAGCAAAACGTTTAAGAATACTATTACCAGCAATACGTTTAAGAATAATATTACCAGCAATACGTTTAAGAATAATATTACTAGCAATACATTTAAGAATAATATTACCGGCAATACATTTCTGAAAAAAAATTACCATCAATACATTTTTGAAAAAAATATTACCAGCTATATATATTTTAAAAAAATATTACCAGCAATACATTTTTGAAAAAAATATTACCCGAAACAAATTTTTGAAGGAAAAATATTACCAGCAATACATTTTTGGAAAAAAGATATTACTAGCAATAAAAAAAATTGTCAGCAATGAATAAGCCATTGAGGTTGATATGCCGTAAAAAAAATGCCAAACCAAATCCTTTTTTTATTATTGTCAGTCATTTGCCATGTCTTTGAGGGAAATAAGATGGGGCGGTTTCTTGCTGTCTTCTTCATGGTCCTGATTTCAGCATTTTCTTTCTCCTAGATTGTCTGGCACTCAAGTTTAAAGAGCCCAGTCAAACTTGCTATTTAACCTATAGCTGGGGATAGATGAAATAAATCCAGGCCTTTTCTATGGGAAATAGTGCGAAATGACACGACAAACACAAGTAGCCTTTTCCTTTTTCGGTGACAATAACCATTACGCTATTTGAACATAATAGCAGTTGATCCAAGTGAAAATGTCTATTCTTGAGATATTTTCGATTGACTCTATACAAATTATTTGATAATCCAGATGGAAGTGTAAAATCGGCAGGCCGTCCGCGTTCCTCTCTGCTTATCTTCCTATATTCGTATCTATCTACTATTTCTGTCTGAATGCGTCTATTTTTACTTATCTGTCTTTGCCCATATCAATCAATCTATTTCCTTATTTGGTGGCTGAATTAATTTTACATTTCTCTGTGATGCCAATGTCTTCCCTGTCAGCAGAGCCGATTGAATTTCCTACAGAGGGGTGATATAGACCACGTCTCTAACAAAGAATCAGTCGCAAGACGGACCTATGTTCACCTTTATACTCAAGTGCAGACTGAAACCTAATAGTAAATTAGCTTATGACTACCTGCATGACTTAATAAATAAAATAACACGGCAGTTGTAATGAGGAATAAAATACAGATCTTTTGACGACGGATTAAAAACATCCAATCTCCCGTTCAGAGCTAGCACCCTAACAGGTGCTACCACCCAGTCCATGGTAGACCTGGGAACAACAGCTCCTTAAAATCTCCAATCTCCAGATCAGAGGTCTTGCTGCCGGATGTAGATACTTGAATAGAATAAGGTTTGAAAATAAAAGTAATATATTGCCTATAAAATCTGTTTAACTTAACATCATATCACCTTAAAAAAAACCCTATCTGACATTTTATTATGAATTCAAGGACCCTGATTTAAGATGTCAATGACTGGATACATTTTTGCGTTTATAGTTATAGAGTTCTTTATTATCTGGGAATTGACATGTCTTCTTAAAAAATATAATGGAGTGGTCTCCCCTTGCTTTCTCCATAGTTCTGATTTCCGCACTGTCGTTCTCTTAGACTGGCTGCCACCCAAGACAAAGGAGACAAGATTGGCACAACTATTTAAACAATAGTTAAGATAAAGATAAAATGGTTTCATGCCTTTGCCAGAGGTAATAATGCAAAGTGACGCAATAATTTCGTTTCGCCCTTTCCACTTGCCGCGTTGATAACCTTATCGTTTTAACAGCTGATTCATTTGAAAGCGTCCATTCTTGAGATGTTCCCCAAAGTTCTATGACAAGTAACCGAGCAAACAGTACAAAATATCAATGAAATAAACGGAATAATTTTATTTTAATTCTATGTTTAAAAAGAAACAAAATTCGGCTGGTTTTGATGTAAAACGTTTGCGACGAAGTCTTGAATTTGGTCTTCATTAGCGAATTTTTTTCCTATGAAAACATTTTCTATTGATCGGAAAAAGTAACAATCGGTTGATTCAAGGTTGGGTGAATATAGCAGCTCGAGTCGAACAGATCAATCAAGTTTCAGTATTTTTTTCCTGATTTATTCCTTGCTGTTTCTGTCTATGTGTTTTCATGGATAGGAAGAACATTTTTCTACGTGACGAACACAGAACGCTTTTCGACCAAGCAATTATAGACCCATTGCAGCTGCTAAATGCACAAATGTTCATTTAGTAGTTCGTTGCTTTCTTTATGGGCACGTGGCCGAGTGATTACAACATTAGCATTCTGGTCCGTATTCGAATCTCACCATGGTCGATTTGTCGATTTGAGCGAGCGTCTGCAATAGGGATTGGCTAGCCGGCCTAGTAGACTGGTATCCTCGAAACCTTGCTTTTTAACAATACTCTGACGACACCAACAATATCATCTTTCTTCCGTGGAGCTCAGGTTTTGGGATCAGTTGTGCATATGCCTCCATGTCGATCCACTGTCTTTTGGGTTAAACATTGTCGTATTGCCAATTTTTCACTACTTGTTATAAAATTTAAGAGTGGATTTTTAGGCTAGTAATTTCGACATTAAAACTGTTTCAATTAACAGAAATTAATTTTAATTCAACTCTAAAATTAATCGATTTCTTTTTATCTATCTTCAAATTCCTAACTAAATGCCTAATTAAATCTTAAAATCCTCAAACATATTTTCTTGCAAAGACAAATGAAAGATGACGTTATTTACGATGCATAACTCAGCCTTTCATTTTTCTAGCGTTTTTGTTTTTATCGTTGTTGTTTAAATATCCTACATTTTTAATAGTTTTGTTAGGAAAGGTGCTATGTGGTATGATCAGAGGGAATATTTACATTGGGAAACTATGAAATTAGTGCACTTTCAATACATTTGAGCCTTAATAAATTATTTTCTCTTTTAATTAACCCAGTTATATCGAACGCCAAAAATTAAAATATTCAATATAACGCTAAGCGTCACTTTAACGTTTTTTGATGTAGAAATGTAATCGGAATTTGTGGTTTTTCGCCCTCTGTTAAATATAACATTTTCCATCCATTGATAAAGCCATTGTTAGTCTGAAGAAGTTCTTTCGAAGGAAGAAACACGAAATTGTACAAGGTTTTTGTTTTATTTTGTCATTCAATATCTCACTGAATATATGGCTGTGTGTTTAATGGTAATAGTGAGATTAACCATTTCCACACAGGAAACATTCGTCGGCATTCATTGACAGATCAGTTAGCTTTACAGTCGGTGCAAAAATATTTATTGTCTGTTATCATGTCCACTGTTAGCGAACTTTCTAGCATTGATTGGCGGTTCCTGCCTAACGCTTTGTTTAAGGTGGTGCGAAAAGTCAATATTTTGATTACTTTCTTTTCAATTATATCTACTGTTTATTTTTTTCTTTCTTTGTGATTCTGTAACCAGTCTGTAAGATCTGATGATGGATTGTTTAATTTGAACTATATTTAATTGTTTTCGCAAATCGTTTATTACATCTTCTAACCTGAACTTGAGTATTACTTTTATATTTCCACTATTTTTTATATATAAATCGGGCAACCTATCGCATGCAAATATTAACGCAACATGTCCCGGAACGTTTGGGTTTATGTATACCTCCTTGTAGATTGTTTCTTTAGTACATTGTATTGTTATCAAGTTTTCTTTGTTTTTCTTCTTTCCCCTTTATACACGGATTACAGCAGCCATGGCAGTGATGGTCAAATTGACAAGATTATGGAGAAGCAAAATCAGCTTTCAAAGTACCGACTGTACAAATGGCTGGTAGTCTCCATTGTCCTATATGGATGTGAAACGTGGACACTGTTAGCAGATACAAAGAGAAGGATCCAAACATTTGAGAAGAAATGCATGAGAAAAGTCCTTGGAATTTTCTGTTGGGAACAAAAATCAGTGTGTTTGTGCGGAAAATGGTTGAAAGTTTTGTGGGATACAGGAACCCCTTCTCGCCATTATCAAACAAGGCATGACAACCTGTGCGAGACTATCATGCAAGGCACCATTGAAGGTGGACTTAGGAGAAGGCGCTAATGTAAAAACTGGTTGGACAATGTAAAAAAACGGACAGGTATGACTGTACCAGAACTGCCGATAGCTGCCGTTAATAGACCGGTGGGGGAAAAGAGTTAGGGTGGCCTCTGCATTCGGATCCGCCCTACGATTACAAAAGTCAAGATGATGATGATGATGATGATTGTTTTCAAGTTTTCTTTGCTTTTATTTTGTCCCCTTTTCCCGAGATCATGATGCATCTATTTCACTTCGGAGTTTTCGATTTTGCTCCTCCCAGGGTATCTTTTTATTATTACATCTTCATTGGACATTTTGGAATCCTCCTCACCTTCTTGATAATCAGCAGCCTATTTTCACTGGTTTCATTCTGTGTAGAAATTTCAATATCTGACGCATAATATGGAAACATCATCTCCTTAAGGAGATTGATCTTACGAGGCACATTCCAGTAGTTTTAAACTTCTTCAGGTGAGACATTTATTACACTATTTATATTATTAGGACTATTGTCCCCATCTTTGGCAACAAAGATGAGGACAATAGTCCGACTAATGTAAATAGTGTACATAATACCTCATCTCAGAAATATAGACAGACATTTGTTAATTTGAAAGAAATACAAAATTTTAATCTCCTTCAATGTCGTTGTTGCGCCGTACCGACCACTTGGTGAAGGCCCTGTGGAAGTCATCCAAAATGAATCTGTCCATGACCTTTTTTTCTAAATGTTTTTTTTTTTTTTTTAGGTTCTTCATCTTGTGAAACAACCAAAGTCAAAGGGGGCAAGTTCTAGACTGTAGGAAGATTGAGAGACAATTTTGAGGCCGATCTTCGTCAATCAGTCAGCTGTGTGCCATGCGTGATACACGCTTAGGCGATCATGTATCTTTCGATACATGACTGAGGAGGCAGATGTTTTCCCGCGGTATTTTGCCATTTCTTTCTACGGTACACCAGTTGCCATCCAATGCTATAGAACATGGTCTGTACTGCTATTTACCCAAAGATTGGGGGAGCAGAATAGGTGTCATAACTTTCCCAATGGTATTAGCACGGAAGTGAATGTAGTGGATTCGACTGGAATTCGAACTCGGCTCACCGATTCCTCAATACGAACGGCTATCTTTTTCATCCACCGTGCCTCCATCAATGCAAAACTTTATTGCAAAGTGAGCTTCCAAATTATGTTCACGTCCCAATTGCTTTCTGCAAAGTAGTCATCTGCGACATGTATGATATTCAGTGATATGTAGGATGTGTTCAAAGAGCTTTTACAACTGTTTCCTTCAATCTGTGATAGCAAAATTTGGCAGGTTGGTTTAGTAGATGTATAATAATGATATGCTAAAGTTACAATGATATAGAATAATTATAACTGTCTCTCCTGAAAAAATCTCAAATATGGAATACACCTTATATATCAAAGGTTGTTGTATTCTTTTTTTTTTTACAATTGAATAATTTACTGATATCCTTTAATTACTAAAATATTAAAATAAAATATAAATGCCTAACTTTTTAGTCAATATTTAGCTTTTTTCACATGTTATTATAAAGCACTTGTAAGACTTTTTCTAAATCCATTTTTCAAAAGAAATGCATTGGCGCGTAATGTAAAATCACTCTTACAATATTTTAAATACTGATGGAATTGTAAAATATTCAGCGTATCGAACCCTACTGTGCTGATCGATTGGATATTTTTTCTAACGTACAACAGGAAAGAATACCATTAAAATATTCATAGATTTACTTAAAGCTACCAGAGAACACAACTTTTGCGATGTCATCTCAAACAGTTCCCAGTTGTTCGACTCTTTTACAAAATCTACCATAAAATCTATATAAATGTAGAAAAGTCGATATTCTCGACAAAAATATGTAAATTTTTTAGAATAATTTCAGCAGACAATAGTCTAATAAGTAGGCAATGATACAGCAGGATACATGGTGGTTTCAAAATA